TGGCCAGGGATCTGCGAGGGCTCGGGCGAGGAAGGAGAAGAAGACGTGCTGACTGCTGATCGAGGGAGGAAGTAGAAGAAGAGGTGGACCACGGCCCCACACGTCAAATGCAGAGTCAGCAGTCCTGTCAGCGTGTAGAGCGGATTAAGACCTGTTTAGACATAGACGACACCCCAAGCCAAATAACATTTTAATAGTAGAGGAACCTAGATGGCATCTTTCGCCAACTTCAAGGACCGCCCATGAATTTTCCTTTTTTTTTAAAAAAAACTTTCCCCTCATTCTGTAGTTTTTTATGGAATTCCGGATTCCATTAATCAACCGTGTTGACAAAACGGTCAGACACTAAAAACATGATACAATCTGAAACTCCGGCCAACACTGAGGGCTGAGCCTGTTCACACTAGCTTGTTGGAGGTGGGTGTTTGGCGCTGTGCTAGGGTCCGGCTGTTCGGACCCTGTGCTCGCGCCGGCCGTGAAATTATTTTCGCGCCACACGCGGCGCGCGCGGGGGACAGCGGGCCGTTTCCTTATCGGCGCGTATCGCGTGCTCGGTTGGCTTCTGAACATTCCCGAGTAATGCATGGCGAGGCTAGGTGGTGCTCGCGTATTCGTTCGTCAAATTAGACATGCACACGTGAACTCCCCGTGCACATGCTAGCTTGCGTCTTTTCTTCACTTTCACAAGTATGTGTACACGTACGTACTATATCCGCTCCATTTTTTTTTCTGGTGCACACACATATCAAGATTGAAACTTTAAAAACTTTAACCAATAATTAGACTAATAATTTTTAACTATTATAATACAAACTTTATATGATTAGATTTGTAAGGAATTATACTATCCAATAATTATAAGTTTATAATGATAAATAATATAATATAAAGCAAATGAATGGTCAAAGTGTAATCTAGGAGACCGTGTTATTCTAACTCACGCCAGATAAAATGAACTGGAGAGAGTAGTTTATGTTTTCTTTTCTTTGCTGGCACAAATGATCGACACTTAATAAACCAACTAGCTTATGATCCTTGTATATTAGCAAGCTATATCATTGAGTGAAGACTTTGAACTGTATACTCGACTTACGTATAAATCGTCGAGTATGTGATTTTAGGGAACAATATATGGACGCCATATATACAAGCTGTCCGGCATGATGAACCAAGCTAACTTTTAGTTTGCTTGTCTTATATATTTATTAATTAGCACGCGTGAAGATGCATGCATGCTTCTTTAGTAGCATATGTATAATACGAGCTCATGCACATATAAACACTTTACATTTATTTTGAATATTTTGTGCAAAATCTCGTCAAACAAAAATATTGTTTTAGACAAAAATATACCATGTGACATCTTATGGAATATAGAAAATATATGTAAGAGATAAAACAAATAAAAAAGATAGTAATCAAAATTAATATATAAAATATAAGGAAAGAAAAAACTAAAATACCAAAGAACATTCATATAAAAATAGAAACTACTTAAACAACCTAAATATACCATAAAACATTTCACGAATACTATATGGATACTCAAAGATAATCGTGAAACATCAAAGAACATGACATGTGTACCAGCATGTGAACATCACAACAAATATCTATAACATCACATGTATAGCACATGAACATCATAAAAATATATCATAGAATATCACATGTATACTACGTGAATATCACATGTATATTACATGAATATCACATAACATCATATATATGCTACATGAACATCATAAAATACATCACAGAACATCAAATGTATATTATATGAACATCACAAAATATATAATGGAACATCATATGTATAATACGTGAACATCACTGATGAATATATCACAAAATATCTTATATATACTACGTGAATATCACATGTGTATTACATGAACATCACAAAATACATAACAAAACATCACATATATAATACCTGAACATCACAAAAAATATAAAAATATATCACGGAATACAAGAAATGAGAAAACAAAAACATGAAAATGAAAGAAATAACATACTAAAATCATTAATTATAGTAATTTGAAGAAGTAAACAAATGAATAAATTTTAAATATAAAACAAAAATGCATCATAAAACATCGCGTACACTACATTAACATCCTAAACATCACAGAACATCACATATATATTATATGAACATCATTAAATATGTCATAGAACATCGTTTGTATGCCACGTGAACACCACATGTATATTACGTGAACATCACAAAAATATATCACGGAACATCACATGTATACCACATAAACATCACAAAAAATCATGATAAAACATCACAAAATATATCATAGAACATCACATATATACTCCGTGAACATCACAAAATATATCATAGAACACCAGATGTATAGAACGCGAACATCACAGAATAGATCATAGGACATGACATGTATACTACGTGAACATTATAAGTATCTCGTATAGTTTAGAAAAATAAAAAATAATTCATTAGATTAAAATAACAACAAAAAAATACACATAAAACGTGATTAACAAATGATAAATATAAAAATAAAATAAAATAAATGAATAATTTAAATAAGAAAAATAGAATTAAAAAATATATACATCATAAATATGACATATATATCTTATGTAACATATAAAATAAAATAAAATAAAAATGGAAATGAAAATAAAATTTTAAATAGTTCACACAGTGAACTTAAAAAAGAACCAAAAGCAATTAAACAGAAAAAGAAAAATAGGAAATAGAAATAGAAGGAAAACAAAAATAAACAAAAAAATAATTAGAATAAAGTAAGAAAAATGAATGAAAGTTAAAAATACAAATAAATTAAAGACAAGAAAAAACACCACGGAAAAATAAAAAACAAAAATAGAAAAGAAAGAAAAAAGAAAATAAAAAACTAAACAACAACTTACCCAGAAAACGTAAGCATCATTGTTGAAATAAAAGAAACATAAAAAATAAAAATAATAGTAAAATATCACATCAAACAAAAAAGAAATAAAAAATAAAAAATGAAGCACGAAGAGAAAAAGGAGAGAGAAAAAGGAAAAGAGAAAAAAGAAAAGAAAAAAAGAAAAGAAAAGAGAAGAATAAGATAAAAAGAAAAAGAAAAGAGAGAACCAACGTACCTGGGCCGTCGCTTTCCTAGTTCGCGGTGTCCCGCACTCCCGCTGATTCCCGCGCTCGTCGCTCGGACCACGGCTGATTCCCGCGCGCCCGCTGATTCCCGCGCTCGTCTCTCGGACCGTGGCTCCTGTCCGAACGTTCGGACGGGAAGATTTCCGGGGGTTTGTAAAATCAAAGGTGCGACGTGCGTAAATACGTAGAGCACGGATCAAAGGGTGTTTTAGCCTGCCCCGATGAACATCTATCCTCATCATAAACACATGTACCACATCGTGACATATTTCTTTTTCTAGAACAAGCACGAATCAGAACGAGAAACAAGCAAAGATTGACTTCAGTTTTACTGACCAACCAATAGGATATAACATTGTTGGGTGGCCTTAGGACATACAACCAAACAATAACATGTCAGGTAGTATTATTAATACACTAGTGTAGAAATGAATTTTAGCGGCGTCACCTTTTCTATAAGAGGCGGTTCAACTAGCACACCGCCTCTAGCCACGCCGTCGAGCACTGTAGCTCCATGACCGTCGTTGAAGATCCATTTTCAGGGGCGGTTCCATTAAGAAATCCACCTCTAAAAATATATCCATTTTTTGAGTGGTTTCGTTAAGAGAACCGTCTCTGAAAATGCTATTTTTAAAGACGATTGCTTATGACAACCGTCTCTGAAAATGACTTATTTTTAGAGGCGGTTTTATTCAGTCAACCGTCTCTGAAAATCGATTTTTAAGAGGCGATTGACAAAGTCAATCGTCCTTAGCACAAATAAATTCATATCTTTTTTAAATGAAGTTGGTTGAAGACAAAATTGATATCAAAATTGTAGAGCTCGATGAGATCTAAAATTTTATAGTTGATAAAATTTTTGTTTGAGATCATTTAGGTTTCTAAATATATAAATTAAGTCTTAGATTTTGAATTTCAAATTTTTGAATTTTTTAAATGGCCTTGGATGGAGAAATGTCATATATCAATGTTGTAGTGCTTGATGAAATCTAAAACTTTATAGTTGAAAGTTTCCTCATTTAATATTGTTTATGAGTTAAAATATTGATTACAAGATTCGTATATATTAATCCAAATAGACAACATCGTAGAATTAGACACAGGTTACTGTGTGGTGCGGTGGTAGGGGACGGAACGTGCGAGGAAGAGGTTGTGGATTTGAATTCTGGTGTCTACACTTATTCAAAACATTTGGAAAATAAATCCCAAATCTTGCAAGTTGTGGTCGGTCCTCGGCCCTTTGGGCTACATTAAAAAAATTCTTATTTTTATCAGACTCTAAATGATCTTTAAAAAATTCTGAAAATTATTTTCAGAGGTGGTTGCCTCTGAAAATTGATTTTTAAGGATGGTTGTTTTAAGTCAACCGCCTCTGAAAATCACTTATTTTCACAATCGGTGGCATTATAGCGGTTTTTCAAACTGCCTTTGAAAACCGATTTTAATCGCCTCTAAAAATATTTTCTGTACTAGTGATAATAAATCATGATATTTAGTACATGATTCATCATAATAAATTAGATTTTTTTTTACAATAATTGGGGAAAAATCCGATGGTTGACATCGACCGAGAGCGGTCAATCCGACGGCAACAAAGGTAGGAGGCAACGGGAGGCAATGGGACGGAGGCAACGCGAGGCGATTGCTGTGTCTATGATCGGTGGGCCATATGCGCAAAAATCGCCTTCCATTGCCTCCATAAATGTGGGGATTAGGACTGGACGGTAATTCCATTCTCGTAGTTTTTTTTGATAAAGGGTAAAACGGTAACTCTATAAATGCAAAAATAATGTTTTGAGTAATATAGTTAGGATGGATAATACAATTAGTATAGTTAGTTAAATGAATATGTCGTTTACTTCTTCTAGGGTTCCACCGCCGCCGTCCTGCGAGCCGCCGCCGCCGCCGATGGGAGGAGGCCGGGCGCAGGGCAACGGGCCACCCCTACCCCTCGTTCCTCCTCGCCGTCATCCGCTCGGGCGTCGCCCTCCTCGTCGCCGTACTCCGCTCGGGCGCCGCCCTCGGCGTTCGTCCATGGTGGAGCAAGAGGAGGCAGGAGAGGATGGGGGCCATGAAACCTAGATCCAAGCGCGCCATGAGGAGGAGGCGCCGACGCCGACACCGACGCTAGTGCTGGCGTGCTGCACACGACCAGGGGCAGGTTCGACACCGCCGCGGTGCTATCTGCGATGGGCAGGTTCGGCGTCACGCGCCTCACGCTGGCGCCGCCGGCGCCGCTGGCCATCGTGCGCACCGCCGAGGAAGCGGACGCGGGCACTGCCGCCCACGTGGCCATGCTCTTGGCGGTGAACTGTGGCGGCGCGCCCCTCGCGGCTGACCTCATTGCACGCTTCTCGCGCACTTTACCCCGCGTAGGCGTTACCCAGGTTGGTTTCTCGCTGCTGCAAGTTCATGTCTTTTGATTCTTAGTTCAGAGAATATCGTAACTACTAGAGTAGTTCATATAAATCACTTGCAATTTTGTGTTCATCATAGCATACAATGCTTGTTTCCAATTGGCAAAAGGGGTATGGTCTTACATGATTGATGGTTTTCGTATACTAGGTTGGAAACTGTCAAGTATGCTCTCTTTAGTTAGTGAATTATTTATTGACAAATCTCATTTGCAGATATGAGCTTGAATTAAATGTTCTTGGACTTAGGTTTTTAGTTTGACACAGCCATCATGTGTAATTTTGAGTTTTGTGAAAAGAAGTATGAAGAGCTACTGATACAACTATAGTTCTGTCAGCCGGTTCAACTTTGACTTTCATAGTTTGCAGAATTTCTGGTGGTTTGGTTGGAGCATTTGTAACATTGGACAGGATTGACATGTCATTCAACACATTAGTGCTTGCATTTCTGTTCTTCTAGGCAAGTTTTTCTCTATATTAGCTTCAAAAGCTTTGGAGCACTACCTGTTTAAGAAGGCTTTGCTTATATTTAACTTAACTAACCTGATGGTATAGCGGCAAAGCTAGTGTGAGTATATGCATTGATGATTTTTATTTGTAAGGATGAATACCTGTTCAGATCTGCAACATGCATTTCTTTGGATAGGCAAATGGTTTAGTGCAGCAATTGTCTTGGTTAGATTTTCCTTTCTGGTACATGATGTCTATTATTTGTGTCCTGACAGAACTCACATCCACCATATCTGCTTCAATGGAAGGAGCAGTCAGCTTCTTTTTAATCATTGCAAATTTTAAGAGAAGTTTTCCCTTGCAGAAGGGGCTGATATTTTGTCATTTAGTGTCAAGGACATAGGAGTAGTTACTTTGGCATTTCAGAGCTAGTTACCTTTGCTTAAATGATCGGTGGTGATAGCGATTATAAAACTATAAAGTGAGGCCGGTTTTAGTCTTGTTTTGTCTGGTAACACTTGTACAATATTAAAAGCTAAGCACAACACTTCTACACCACTTTCTATCTCCTGGTTCAACCATGCCAACCTTTTCTGATAAACTCTGTCTCTTATTTAACATTCTTTGTTATGATGAACTGAAAAGTGAGCCATCTGGTATCTGTCCAGGAGTATATCTCGTCTCTGACACCGGTGTTTCTAAATTTATGTATGCATATAGAATCGTTGGTTACATAAATTTTCCCGTGCTCGATGTCATTGTAATGGCAAGCTAAGGGTGAGTGTGGGACTGATTTAAGCAAAGCAGGGGGGTAACGATTTTCAACCAGTTTACTAGCACTGGGCATTCTTGGTTCAAACAAACAACTAATTTGACATATATGCAGGCAACAAGAGCTTATGGGCACACGGCACATGTTACCATCGCTGCTTAAATCAGGGCAGCACTCGCTGTGGCGCAAAATAAGGGGTAGCCTCAGAGCGAAACAGCATAGACTTATAGCATCTGAATGAAACTGCATCATAGCAAAAATGGCCACGTCAGGGTGACAAAAATCGTAAAAATGAACCCCTGTCAGTAACAAGAAACTGTCAAGCTTTTCTTCCCCGCTTTAAATTTCTTCCCCACTTTAAATTTCTTCCCCGCTTTAAATTGCAGCTACATCCTTAAGGTGCACACTCTGTCCAACTTGGGACTCCATTACTCCAATCCCCTTCCCTCTGAGACTAGAGGATAACATGAGTTCGGTTTGTGATGGAAACCGAGTCGCATAATTTTGCCTAAGTTTCCTCAGAGCTTTATAGATTCTGACATCTGAAGCTGAATCGGTTAACTTTTCTTTTCTGAATCAACAGAACACACTTGGTTTCACATTAACTCTCAGTTAATTCCATTGACTACCAAAAAGAGTGTCACTACGAGATTCATATTGGTCAAACTTTTTTTAAAATTTGACTAGGTTTATAGAGAAGATTAAGAACATTTAAATCTCCAAATAAGGTTATTATGAAAATATATCCAGCGATTCAACTAACGATACTAATTATGCACTATAATGTTTTCTTATATGTATTTGGTCAAAGTTGAAAAGTTTGACTTTGTAGGAGTATAGGACAATGATAAATAGAGAGGGGTCAAGACAAGATTTAGGTTGTTTTACATCAACTATGCAAGAGCGGAGAGCACCAAACATGAGCAGGAACGATGAAGACTAGTCAGAACTCAGAGTTTAGCTGTGAAGGCCAAGGTGAATCCATCAATGGTGCTGTGCTGGGGCCAAGAGGGCAAGGGCTGCATGATCTGCCAGAAGCCGGTGAAGGGGCAGGAACAGAACAGGTGACTTCTGTCGAATGTTGAGAAGACCTTCTTTTACTGCACAATATATATACAATGTCATTTCTGTCCGTCAGGAAGTTTCCCATTTAGACGTTCAAAGTTGGCACCCTATAGTGCAAGCTAAAACACAAGTAAAATGCAAAACAAGAGCAACAAAAAATAATCAGTTATGGACAAGAAATTATGGGCCTGCTTGGTTGCAAGCCAATTTTTGCCAAACCAAATTTAGAGCAAGTCAAAACATGGGTACACCAATTTTAGGGTAAGCCAATATTTTGGCAAGGCAATGAAGGTTGGTATTTGGTTTGCTAAAAACAAGAGAGAAAATGTTGTCTTGCCAAAAATTCGGAATGGCACCACACCAATTGAGTGCCAAATTTTTAAACTTGCCCATATTTTGGTTTGGCAAAGATTGGATTGCAACCAAGCAGGCCCTCTATAGATAGTCCCCATTCTATTTCATATTACGAATTATGAAAAGGGTACATTCCGATGGTACTGCAGCCCAGAGCTTTCTATGACAGGACATCATAAGTAATAAATAGGTTACAAAACACTCTTAGATGCTCGATTTGACAATGAACTTGATGCGCAAAGGAACTTTTCAAGCTTATCACAGATCCAGTGCAGCATCCTTGCATCCGGCACATACAAATCTTACCATGGTTCTATAAAAAAATGATTATTTTTGCAGCGAATGTGTTTATGGTGTTGGACCATGCCTTCAACGATAAATGTAACCAAAGAGATGCCGATTATATTTGTAGCCCACGTGTTTATGGTGTTAAACAATATCTTCAGAGGTGAAGGTCACCTAAGAGATGCCACCAACGCTGAGCACTCACTTCTTTGAGGAACCAAACCCACCAAAACCCATCATGGCAGAATGTCAGGGTCCATGTCCTCAGGCTCATGTTGGGCTGTCTGTTCTCTCTGAAATCAAGTGGGTATAAATTGTACTAATTCTCAAACCCCCACGGGACTGTCAGTTATTTCAAAAGGAAAGCAGGACTTAGCAACAGGCAACAGGTCATCTATTTTGCGTTGCTGCACTTACTTTCTTCACTTTCTTCTTTTCTTTGTGTTGGTGCTTCCGCTCTAACTCTTGTTGTTTCGATATTCTTTCGTATGCTCCCTATTTCCCTAGAGTTATTGCGTGCAAAATTTTCATTCTGAATGGTATGTGCGATGAAACTGACAGCATATATGAGGATTTTTCACTTTCTCACCATGTTCAGTAAAGGCCCTTGGACCCTTCCTCTTCCTCATAAGTGCCCCAAACCTTTTCTGAACCTGCAGCCAGAAAATGAACCACCAACTATTCTTTGTGCGGCAATAATCCGAGCAACATGTTACTTGTTAATAAGCCAAGTTGCATTCAATCTTATTTTGCAAATATAGCATACAGTAAGTCACATTGAAATTTGCACAATAATTATGTAACAGCCAAATCTAGTTCTGTGTGTACCTAAAAAAAGTAAATTTGAGTCAGAAGCAAAATAGATGTTGATGACAAAATTACTTCCACATACTGAGTTGACTCTACCATAAGATGGAACCATCATGCTGAAGAAGTCACACATGGTTTAATGACAGTGCATGCCTAATAAGGTGTAATCTTGGGTGCACACTGGCAAAATAGTGTCGACTTGGCAAAATAGTTCAAGAAATCACTCTATTCGAACTACAATAAAACTACAATATATTGGCATGGTTTTTAAATCTTGCCAAGGTTGGTTTCGACCTTCCTTCTGAGATCCCCGATAATCTTAGACATGTCGTCTATCATCTTTCCTTGGTGCTCGAGGCTGTTTTTCATGGCATCGACCTTCTTTTGTCTATTGACAGCCCATACTTAGTAAGACTGATTTTCAATTAAGGGTTGTGTCATCGTGTAAGTATGGAATCTGTCAAAAATAATACATGCCAAAAATAATACATGTCAAATGAAGTGGGTTGTGTAGTACAAATTACATGCAGCCGTGCAAGAAGATACCTGGTGGTCTGACACGTCCTCCTCATCACTCCAGTCCTGACACCCATTCAAGCATCTACGGATCTCATGGCTCCAGCAGTTGCAGCACCACGCCAACAGGTCGTCGATGCCACCGACAGGATTTAGGCACGGAGAGACATTGTTCTTGCAGTTGCGGCACAGATACTTATTGCATCGGCCGTCGTCAGGGTAGAATTCATGATTGCACACCTGAAATATAATGGATCATATAAAAGAGCCAATGCATCTATCCCTCGTGGAACCAGACCAAACACTCATTAGCACTTGAAAAAAAATTGCATAGAAATATGCATGCATGAGCTATGGACTCGATTGCATAGAAACAAACAGGCATAGGTGTTTCCAATTCAATTACAAACAGATCTCTAAAAATTCGTCGTTCCACAAACATACCTCGTTGGGTGACCTGGGCCTTTTGATAGGAAGATCACATCCTCCGTTCACGCAAGCATTGTGACGACCGCGATTCCAGTTCCAGCAGTTGCAGCAGCTGAAGCCGTCTCTCCCTCTCGGGGAGAAGCATGGAGAGACTCCATTCACGCAGTCAGGGGCCAAGAACCTTTCGGCGCTCTTCTTCAGAGCCGTGGATTTTCCCCTCTTCATCTTCTTCTCAGCCGATGATTTTCCTGGATTCATCTCTAGACGGCGTGGATGTGGCCGGCGACGTGGTGAAGGCGGAGATCAGCGGCGGCGGCGCGTCAAGCTCCGGCCGGCGACGGGCTAGGGCTAGGGCTAAGGCTACGGCTCCGAGCGGCCCCTTTAGGGTTCTAAGGTGGCGGTGCGGTGCTCTTGGCATACTGTTCATAGGGGCGGGCGTGGGGAACCTCAGGGGCCACGATTGAGGGGATCGGGCGGCGGTGGCTACGCCCGGTTGATGCGGCGCGGCGGGGCACGTTCGATGGAGGGGAGGGGTAGTGGGCTTTGGTCCAGAGGCATATCGCCAGGAGTTGGGGAGAAGTTGCCGCTCTGTGTCCGTCTCCAGGGAAGGAGGCGACACTGTGCGTGGAGCCGCTGACACGCGGGCCCTGAAGGTGATGCCGGAGGAGCACCTGGAGGAGGTCAAGAATGAGCTCAGGTCGATTCTGGAGGGCACTGGAGGTTCTCACCACATCGAGGAGTTCTTGTACTTGCAGAAGCTTGTGCAGGACAGGGATGATTTGACACCATCCATGCTTTCAGTGGCGCACCATGTTCAGCTTGAGATCCTTGTTGCAATCAAGACTGGGATACAGGCCTTTCTGCACCCCAGCGTTACCATTCCACACAATCGCTTGGTGGAGGTCTTCTTGTACAAGAGGTGCCGGAACATTGCTTGCCAGAGTGCTCTCCCTTCTGAGGAGTGCAGATGCAATGTGTGTGCTAGCAGGAATGGCTTTTGCAACCTGTGCATGTGTGTGATCTGCAACAAGTTTGATTTTGAGGTCAATACATGCCGTTGGATTGGTTGTGATTTCTGCTCTCACTGGACACATACAGATTGTGCAATTCACAATGGCCAGATAGGAATGGGACAATCAGTGAAAAGCAGCATTGGTCATGCTGAAATGCTTTTTAGGTGCCGGGCTTGCCAGAGAACCTCAGAGCTTCTTGGTTGGGTTAAGGATGTCTTCCAACAATGTGCTCCTGGTTGGGATAGGGATGCTTTGTTACGTGAGCTTGAGTTTGTTTGTAAGATATTCCGTTTAAGTGAGGATGCAAAAGGGAGAGTGTTGTTTAGGAAATGTCTAGATCTGATTGAAAGGCTGAGGAATGCTCCAGCTGATTCCATCAATCCTAGGGTGATACTACAAGCACTCCAAGGTCAGTCATTCACTCCGTCTATTTTCCCTGGCTGAAAGTCTTTTTTTTTTCTCGAACTCGCGGGAGAGCTGCGTATCTTTGTATTAAGAAAAAAAGGGGGCAAGAGCCCTTACAACACACACCCACACTCCTAAGCTCTTAGAAAAACACACGCGCCTTTTACTAAGACAAACTATTTTCCCTTGCTGAAACATAAGTTTGCATTTGACTTGTTACCTGTTAGCTTCTTATTTCTAAGTCTGCTTAGTTACTGTTTCATGGCACCCTGTTGACTATGAAAATTGTTTACTCCTTTCGATCCCAAATATAAGTCCATTTATCTTTGTCCAAGGTCAAACTTTTATTAGCTTTGGCCATCATTGACCAAATAGTTATATAGATTGATAACATGAGGTTGATGTTACTGCATGTCTGCATTTATCATGAAACATACTTCCGTAATATATAACACTTTCTATTATTAGTCAAAGTGTAGTGAATGGAATCAGAGTGAACACAAACCAAATTGATTCGAGGTTTCATCATGTGATCGGATTACTGTGGGAGTTGGTACCTCGAGGCTGGCCTCGGACCGGGGGCGGCGAGGGCGCTGCTGGAACCTGGCGGCACTCGGATGGAAGGCGGGCGACGGAGGCGACCACCGCTGCCCTCGCGCTGGGGCGGGGGCAGCGGCGGCGGCTGAGCCGCCGTCGCATGACGAGGCTCGGCGGCGGCTAGAGGAGGAGAGAGTAGGGCAGCGGTCGCTAGGGTAGAGAGCGAGGCGGTCTGAGGCGATGGCAGGCAGTGGCTTGGCGCCGCGGCGAGGGCGGCGGCGGCGGTGGCGGCTTTGGTGAACGCGACAGCGCGTGCAGGGTCGGGGCGTCGGGCGATGCCGAGTGCGAGGGCGAGTCGGGACGACGGCGTCGGGCGTGGATCGGGGAGGGGGCGCGGCGAGTAGTGATAGGCACGTGAAATGACCAACATACCATTTATGATGAGAATTAATATGTTATGGAGGCAATGGGAGGCGACGCGAGGCAATTTCAAGTACTGTAAAAGGGCTCAATTAATTAATAATAAATCACGATGTTTATTTAGTATGAGATGCATGGTATATTCACCGGTTAGCGAGCATGTGAAATCGTCATCATCATAAAATAAATGGTAAAATAACTAAAAAATGAATAAAAAACGAGTCGCAAGCTTCACATAGTAGGTAAATTTGTCCCAATCTGCAGACATGATCGTCATAATACAAAAACAACAAACGAGACCAAATGTTTCCTCATAAACAACAAAAGAGATCCAACAGACAGCAGTTTATTTGCAGCATTACATCTTAAATAAAAAAAGCATAATCAAGTCCAAAATATTGTTCTTGGGTTTTCACTTAGTTTAAACACCCTTTCTCTTTCATTTTCTTCTCTAAACTCTCAATAGCTACTTTCTTACCAACTATAACCTTCTCGGAATTGACATGAGAAACCACGACAGACCAATCCGTCTCCCCTTTTGTCCACTCCTTTTTCACCATTTGCCTATATCCTTTGACAGAGCCAATACATAAACACCGCAATCATAGCTATTTTACTGTTGTGGTGTTTGGCCTTCATGGAAACTTAAAACGAAGGAGGGAAACAATGGTCTCAGATTCCTATAAAGGCAGAGAGCAACATCTTGATTCATTTTTTTATACTGTCGAGGTGCACAATTTGGCATATATTACATATGCCCTGTCAATGCGAAACACAAGTAGACTCCAATGATTTCCACCACCTGACTTGTCAAACTGTTGATTATTGTTTACTAAAAACAAGACTAGACTATGGTTGCTTAGGTCTAAAGTTCTGGCAGCTACAACTACTTCGGCAGTTTCAGCATAGTTTGTCATATGAAAGGCCACCATCGGCGGCACCAACATGAAATCTTTCATATGGAATTATAAGATGATGACATATGAGCATACACAAAGTGGATGAGAGGGTCTTCAAGCCAGTTTGTTCCTCGAAGACTTTTCAGCTCAGACTCAATCAACTTCACACCATCATAAAAGATCGCACGAGGCCTAGCGGCATTTGAAGGTAAAGTGCATGATTCTGTTTCTGTTTCTGCCCCCTGCATGGCATTCGTAGCTGCTTCTATTTTTTGCCCCCCTATCTTTGGCTCTACAAACAAATGGAACTCTTGTTTAGTCAAAAAGTGCCACGTAAGTGTTCAATTGATTTATTAATCCAAAAACCATCCTACAATAGATAACGAAATTAGTTCTCATTTTCAAAAATCATATGTGTTGGGGGTGTATCATATGTTAGGGACCCCTATTTGTGTGTTCAGGGCCCAATTACATCACCTATGAGCCTTGTGAGATAGGGTTTATGACCCAATTGTAGCCCTTAGAGACATTTTTATAAATTTTAAGCCCCATCAAGGAAAATAATAAAAACCTTCCTTCCTACCTCTCCTATAGAATGGGAGAGAAGGAAGGTGGAGGGGAGACTCTTGCCTCTCACTCATTTGGCTCTCCCTCTTTCTCCTCACTCCATCTCTTTCATGTTGGTTTGTAGACCAACAATATGGAATCAATGAGCATAAAAAAGAAATCACTCACTCTGATCAAGAATAGTGTTCCCATGTTGATGCAAACATACAAAATAGAGCATTTTTCTTTTGTTAAACACATTATATGATACACAAAAATATAATCAGAATAAGAGATTGAATAAATTGGAACCGATCAGCTCTTGAAATTGGTCTTTTTGATCATCATCTTGATAACATAGGTTAGCATACCTTGAGATCTTGCTGAATGATCAGATCGACAATACTAGGATCCATTATTAGTTGTACCCCATCCCTCTTCAAACGTATAATAAACATACATCACCTAGTAATATTTGTTAGGAATTTATCTGTCAACAAATTCTTATTGGCATGCCTCCCCAACGAAAGTACATTCCAATAAGGTGCACTTATTAGTTACAGCCATATAGGATTGAACTCTACGACTCGTGAGATAAACATTGTTAAAAAATCAGAGAACTGTTGAATGCAACTAATCCATCGAGGCTTCGATTCATAAAGATTAACATGAACTATTTTAGAGTGCATATTTTATAAACATTATTCAGAATGGCTGATTTGACTAATGGTGCTTTTGCGAATAACTGATCAATCATGTACTTCTGAATTTTTTCAAATTTCTCTACATCATCACAGTCAGGTATATTTAGGATATCAACCTAAAACATTTGAAAGTAAAATAGATGTTGTTGTAACTCTTCGGAAATATAGCATTGAAAGAAAATCTTCACATACGTTTCAAGATCACCCTTTCCTTAATCTTTCTTGTAATTCTTAATGTTGTTGATGTGATAAAAAAATTAATTTCACCAATAGCATCACCATTGACCAATTCTATTTCTACCAACATGTCCTCCTCTTTAAAAATCACCATCCCATAATCACTCAACTTGTGGGCTCACAATATGAATATTAAATACCCCTTTGCAATCAATCTACCAACATATAATGTTGAATTGAATTTTTGTGCTTTAAAATCATAAATCTTATATATAATGATGGATGACGTGAACTTTCTGAATGACAATAATCCTAGTAGATAAATACAAGTTAAAAGAACTCTCAATATCAAATTGAATAAAAAAATATATTCACCGATTAGCATGACATAATCTTATACATACTATTGAGTTTTGCTAACACTTGTGATTATTCTTCTTAATAATTACTATAACTCCGCTAGTAATGGTGTGCCACCATTGATTTGATTGCATACTAGTTCCACTATTCCTTATTTTCTCTTCGTTCAACAATTTATATGTAACATGCATGCTGTAGGTCTGCATAACTATTGTTTCAATGCCATTTATTTATAATTCTTGTAGCCACCTGTTCATATCAGCGCTCTTATGTTTTTACTTATTGTAGGGCAAAGTATGTATAATTGATGAACTAGATGGTGAACAACGGAAATGATCGGTCCTATGCAGCTATGCTCCTTATGCTTCTGATTTGGTTTGATTCAAAGTCTTGATACCTTGGTCATCTGTCATACTTATTTTTTGTATTATTAAAGTCCAGGAGATGTCTGATTGAAGAACTTAGAGATGTTTGATGGTATGGAGAATGGAATATTTTCGTTTTGTTATATTATTATAAAGTATGTGATAACCATATGATGTAACATATTCATTTGCATGCCGGTTTGCTTGTAGTTGGTGTCAACCGCTGGCACGTTCGAGACAAAAAAAATGGTTGAGGGTATCTTTGATAAAACAAGGCTTGCATGTCGTAGTCGCTCGCATCAATTGTTGTGATGCCTTTAACACTAAAGCCTATGCATAGAGCTTTTCGAGGGTAACCCATGTACGTAGCCAATGGATTATCGAATAAACCACTTGCAAGAGAGAATAAATTAAGTTTTTTTTTAAAAAAAATCTAAATTACTTCTACGTAACCAAAGCGACCAACAAGTAGCCGTTGCACCCAACGCAATTATAGGTTTGAGATCCTTCTGAAACCCTCGAAGCCAACTCCCAAAAAGATAGGGAGATTTAACGCAACTTGTATGCAACCCCAAATTAGTTGTGCAAAGCGGCATTCAAAGAAAAGGTGCTTAATTGTCTTATTCATGTGACAAAAACAACACTTCTCACTGCCTTGCCAATTGCGTTTTACTAAGTTATCTTTTGTTAAGGTAACAACCCTTCGAGGTACCACATAAAAATCTTTAGTGGGCCTTTGATATGATTTTGTTTAGGTTTCGGACATCTTGATGGATCAAAGCCGAATAATGTGACTTCACCGATAATTTGCCTTTTTGGTCCAAATTCCAGTAGAAGACATCTTGTTCTTGAGTGAGCATGAGATTAGCAATGCGAGGAAACAGATCATTTCAGACAGTTAGTTTACGACAAATCAAATCACACCTCCATGAGAAATGCATCGGTGGTGAACTAAAAACCTCTACTACATTTTGTTGCTTATGTCTAACAATGTTATATAGGTAAGGATATTATTCACTCAGAGGTGAATTTCCAAGCCATTTGTCCACCTAGACCCGCACTTGGCAACCGTCTTTAAATACAAAGGAGCCAAATGGAAGAAATCATGTTTGACCTTCACGAGGCTTCCCAGAAAGGAGAATCCCCACTTTTCCAATAAACTTGGGATAACAACTTTGAGTCTAAGTACTTGTTTCTGATTATTTGTTTCTAAATCTCATCCGTCGTCAACAGCTTGAACAACCCATTTGCTTAGGAGTGCAATATTCTTCAGCTCCAATTTGACCGTGGGTAGAAACTAAAAAGCCATACAATTTGAACCGGAGGGAGTAAAACTAGCAGAAAACCCAAAAAAAAAAAAAAAAAATCGCACCAAACATATAATGCAGCTGGCGTGTTGGTCCATGCTTATGTGTCCATGGAACACGATACAATTATTGTGCTCCCCCAATGCAACTTAAAAGTTTAACCGATGACTCTATTGCGCAGTTTCATCAAAAGTGCTCATAAACCCACCCAAGAAGCCAGCACCATTACAGCTCCCACATAGGATTTCACGCTTTCCTCTGCAAAAGTAACGACCAGTGGGTAAATCAAACTGCTGAATCTCAAACGAATCAGAGGATTTATTAATTGAGTAGATGTATGTCAAAGAACAAGTACAAATTGACTTATAACCAAGCAAATGCTGATATGGAGTAGAGAAATGAGAGCTTGGCTTTCATGCAAGCAACAAGCTGAGCACGGAAGCATAGGCATTGATGTTGGACACACACATTAAGTGAATGTAAGGAGGACTAGAAAAGAAAATGTGAGACATAGATAAAAGTAACAATAAAAAAGTTTCTTATAGAATTATATAGTTTGGCTCCTACAGCTTGGCTAAAAGCCAAACACTTGGCTTTATTATTGGACTTGCTCTAATGGGAGGGAATCGGTTCCTCTAGAGACTCATCTGTCTAAATGGCCGATACTTACACGGTCTAATGAACCACTCATAGTGACACAAGTACTTTTTGTTATACCTGCAAAGCCAGCATAAAGCTCCAGCTTTAAATCGGCCTTCAAAATAGTCAACAGAATTCACCCCACTTCCCTCACATTTGGTGCATGCGATCGCACCTGCCAATTTACAGTGAAACTGTTACAACAAAAGGCACAGCAAAACTGGAGAGCTGCTATAAGGAGTGGATGCATAGCATGCATGCTACACAAGACGTCTTAATGCTCTGTAGAAGAATGATGACAATTAACAAACAGTGCTTCTACAATCCAACGTTAGCATAATTATATCTGAGCAACAGTAAGAGCCTTCAGTCTGAGCCAGTGAACCACTTGCAGGGATCTGAATTTTTTCTTAAGTACTTATTTTGGTAAATGTTGTACTTACAAGGTTGCAAAATAAAATTGCTTCAAAGGATGATGAAACACCTAAAAGATTGTGCAAGCGGAATTTGTTGATTTTGTTATATTATTATGCCAGACGGTTTTTTTTAACAATTGAATTTCTCCTATACAAGGTCCACCAATACTTGTTTTGGTAAATGTTGTACTTACAAGGTCCATGTCATGTACAGGAGTGGTAGTGGGAGAAAGTATAGTGACCTCATACATATAGTATCAGAAACATTAATCAGTCAGGATTCAGGAAAAGTATTTACACTACAGTATTAAAGATTGCTCAGGTATAATTTGGTGATGAAATTCCATTCCATGCGTACGGAGATGAGTTTTATAGCATTTTCTTGCTAATGTATATTTCAAATGTACAGTGAAATAAGGGTTGCCATATTAAGGTATATCAGTGTTCAATTCATGCTTTGTGACAGCAACAGCAACGAAACCCACCAATACTGCATTGACAAAACAGAATACTAAGCTCAATCAGGAAAATAAAGGGTCATCTGTGTAGTCTGTAACTGGTTTCTGATCCACTTCTACTTCCTTTACATATAATTATTCAAGTAAGGAGCCAAATAGCCTTGAGGTGCTATTGAATCCCTACATGAACACAAAAACATTTAACTGAGATGGGAAAAAATCGTTCCTGTAAATTCATACAAAAGTGTGCTCACCATTTCCTTTGCAGTCCTGGCAAAGAATGCTGTTCACCTTTTGAGGCTTTTTAGCAGACTGGTCATTTTCTGTGGCCTGTTTGAATGAAACCTTTCAAAGCTTTGAGGAGAAAAGGCAAATACAGATAAGGAAGCAAACGGAAGCACATTTTTCCTACCCCAAACAACTCTCCTACCAAAACTGAAAGGAGAATAAAATAGAGAAGGTTCAGAAGTCACTAATTCAACATTCATATCTCATGTTCATTGATAAAAATACTATATGCATGTCAAATTATTGTATGCAACACGCATCCTATCTTCTCAATACAGGTTATTTATGATGTGAATACTATTGTAGTGTAGTGGTAAGCTCCCCAGTTAAGGGAGACATTGGACAGGTTCAAATCCTAGTGCCACAAAAAGAAATCCCCTTGCTAGCAACCCAAAAATAATGGCTGCTACTGCGCCTGAGGCGGGATAGGTCTAATATTTTTCATCTTTTTTTGGTCTTGGGTTGGTTCCCTCCCAGTTTTTAAGTAATAGCTTTTTGTTCTGTTAAGTTGGTGTGGAGTGTATGTGCCTCTGGACACATGTGTGGGTTTGTAAGGGTTCTTTACTTTGTTTTTTTTCTTATTAATGCAATGATACGTGGCTCTTCTGCGTGTTCGAGAAAAAAACTAATGGCATGATGCCAAACCTGTGGCAATCGTGGTTGGTTTGGACCCTCCGCCCTCCTACCAAGGGTAGTTGCAATGGTCCAGCCCAGGAGGTCGTGGTTGGCCTAGGTTACGGTGCAGTACTATAGGGTGAAGCTAGGGTTCGAGGGGTTTTCTCGGCCCATGTGGTTTCGGCTTCTTCTTAATTACAATGCCTCAGGGAGGCTGTTCCCTAGCGTCAAGTTTTGTTTATGTATTTTGCTCGCAATGCATATATTCTATTGCACATATATGAGATATCGATTCCATCTTGTTTGAAATAGGAGATGGAATTAAATATGCACTGCTATTAGATAGCTGATAGCATACTCTACATGACAAAAGAAAAAAAAATCCAGAGGCAAGCATATATTAGATCCATTTAGCTGAAGATATAGGGACCATAAATTTCCTGCATTGTTTCTATAATCTGGGCAATGAAGTCGTACAGGAAAAACTTAAGAAACTATTGCACCATTGCACCAAGAAGGGATTATCTCCATCACCTATTAACTAAAACTACCGGTGATATGCAAGGTTGATCATCATTGGATTTCATGAGTCACAGGGCTATATTATAACACATGATGTTACTACTCCTCTAGTAAAAGAATGATGTCTAGTAAAAAAAACTCAGCAATTATTCTTACTAAACATTACTTGGTTGAAATTTTAAATCCCAAAGAATGGCTAGCAACACTAGCAAGATCCATTGCCACCTGATCCCTTGGTCTTCGGCACTTCGCATCCCACCTCCCCAACATCCGTGAAATATAACCGCTCAGCCCACCAACGCAGGGCCTGCGGCCAACTCCTCCGCACGAAGTAAATTAGGGATTCATCCCTCCCCAAAGGGCATGTTTGGATCCATTAGCACTAAAAGTTAGCTAGCTAATAGCTAATAACTGCTAATTTTTAGCAGGGGGCTGTTTGGATCCACCTGCTAATAGGTGGTTGGATAGTGAGTTGAAGGTGCATATGAACTATTAGCAACTCCAAACCTGCTAATGGAACTAATAGTTAGGATCCCTGCAACTAATAATTAGCAGGTCTATTTGGATCCATTAGTACTAATTCTAGCTGCTAATTTTTGGTGCTAATGGATCCAAACAGGCCCAAATTCTCATCAATGGGCAGCACTGCCCACTGCCTAACTCTTCGGCATCTCAGATCCGCCCCTCATCCTCCTGCGCCACAATCCTTCGTCCACCTGGTTGTGCAGATCCACCAGGGTTAAGCACATGGCAGACAGTGGTAGAATCTAATGGATGGTGGTGCCGTCTTGTCCTAGGCCTGCATCTCCCCTTCAACCATGAGTGTCCATGAGGTATTAATACTTTCCTCCCAGTTTGCATACATATGATTGAATGATTTTAATGAAACCACATTTGTTGGCCTGTCGCCACAATTTCTGCACAGCTGCCTGTGGCGAGCCGAAGACCCACTTGAGCATGGCACCAGCGACGCCATCAAAGCTGTCAGGGACACGATACCTGCTGAACACGTACAAGGTCACATCCTCCCTCCCCTCTTCTTGCTTTTCTATTTTGGTTAATGATCCACCATGTGCATACCTGTTCATGGAAATGATTTGACAGGGACCAATTCTATTCCGCACTCCAGATGTTTGATTGAATGTTCCTTAGAGAGAGAGAATTATTTTTCCACTAATGCACCTTATTTCTTAAACAGCCATACAAAATATATCACATATTTCCTTTCCTCCTGATTATTGAGGTTGCCCAATCATTCAATTTAGATTCACTGTCTTTGAGAACAGTGTTTGTGTAGTTGTAGTCTGCCTAAAATGGAAGGTACACAATTAAATAATATTTTTTCTCGATCACGCAAAAGATTTGCACGTTTTTGTATTGAGGAGAATTTTGACTACAATGGGTTGGGCCTTATAGATTTTTAATAAGCATATGCCCACCCAAACTCACACTTGACTACTCTATTACTCGCTGAAGAAGACAACCTAGGCTCCTCGCGCCGGCTTGCAATCACGACTCAGCCTTGTGCATGATGTGATTGAGTAACTCGGACCATTAAATAATAATATTGATTTTTTGTTTCAGCTATCTAGTCATTCAGTTTAGATTCACTGTCTTTGAGAATAGTGTTTGTGTAGTCTGCCTAAAATGGAAGGTACATCATTAAATAATATTGAATTTTTCAGCTATCTAGTCTAAATAGATATTTAGATTCATTATCTGATAGTTCTAGCCTTTTGTGATAGCAAAACAGATTAAGGTAAGGACCCGCTAAGACTGCAATCATGATTTGTCATCAGGCAAGTGAGCTTCAAGTAACCAGGAAACTAATATGTGAGTGCTCCTACAACTTTACAAGCTGTGGAAACATGCACATTGTTTGATTGTGTGCACACCTCCAAAGCCACCAGATTGCAGAACAAAGGTTAATTTAATTGTATTACTGTATTCTTAGCAAGGTCTGGACGCTCCATTGAACAACATATATATGCTTTTTTTTATTCCGCATCGCATCTTTTTTAGTTGGATGTGATAGTAATATAGTAGCAGATCTGATTTTAAGCTTCTGCAATATTGTGCACTAACTAGTGCTTGGTTTCTGTTGGTTATTAGATAGCTATTAGTGATGGATCTGGATAGTGAATATATTTGATGCTCATAATTCTATAAATTATCCTTCAGAATAAATTCTGTGATGCAGCTCCACTTAAGTCTTGCAAGACTAATATCACTCTCAAACCATTAGCCTTCATGGTCCTCCTGAATGCTATTAAGTATTTGTAGTTTCCATCTTACAAGGCAGTTATTTCACATGCAGGACATGGATTATGTGGGCACTGCAGGTTCCTGCTCAAGTTCTTGTCCTTCAGCCAAGTTAAGTTTTTCTGAAATTTGTTCGAGTCATGAGATTAATTCCTACAATCTGGATATTAGCACAATGTTATAATTTATCACTTGAAAAGTCAATTGCTATTTGCTTCTATGTGTCCTCTTTCTGCTGGAATCTTTCTTGGTTTTGTTTCAATTTATAAACTGAGGTTAGTTGTCTTCCTGTAATTACCTGAATCATGTGTTCTGCATTCCTCTTGGAATTAGAAGATTACATGTTTGTGACTTAGCATCTAATGTATTCAATTACAGATATCATATATATCTGTCACATGTGAACTTGTACTTACTATATCTTCTATCCTTTTTCTTTCTTTCAGAATAACCGACTGAGTTGGGAAAAAGATCCAAAGTGAAGCGTCAGGATTTTCTATTACAAGCGAAGAATGGACATTATGCAAAGTAGTCAATGTATTATTAGAAGGAAAATTTAGACAAGTATTAGGCTTGTGTCTTTTATTTCTCAGTCAATGTTTGAACCAGGTCCTGACAGCAAAATCTATTGGAGTCAGCCCTTGTAACTGAAAGTACTATAATAAAAATCAATATGCTTCATTGAGATTGTGCTCTGTTCGTGCATTTGTGAGTCGACCTTTGTTCTTGATTTTGCTTATCATACACAGCTGTAAGGATTTATCATGAATATATTTTGAGCAACCAAAAATTTCAAGATTGGCCATTGGCAATACCAACAGATATATCCGTTGCCGTTGAATGGTTATATCCATTGCTAACTTACAACGCTTTTGTTTGCATGTTACCAATGTTGCACTAGACCCTTGCAACGGCACTTCTAGCAACGTATATATGCATTGCTAAAGGGTTGTTTCTCTTGTAGTGACTTAAAAGAAAACATCGAGCTGCTCTCAATTCTTCGTGTACTCATGTAGTCCTATGCGAACTATGAATCTATGAGACGAAAAAGCAAACTGAAGAACATGAGCGCATACCATGACAAGAAAGAACAACAATTCTTGTTCCAGTTCTCTGCAATAGTATACCAGCAAGTTTCAGAAAAAAAAAAGTAAACTAGCAACCTTATCCCAAAACACCAAGAGCAGAGGTAGAAAAAATGAACATTGGAAACCGTATCGGGAGGCGGGCAAGACAAAGCAGCTGACCTTGGTCTTGACGCACAGGTGCTTGCAGCGGCCGGAGACGGGGCGGAAGGAGATAAGCGAAGAAGAAGGCGATGCTTTGAGGAGAGCTGGAGGGGAGGGAGCAGTGGTAGTGACACTCGCCGTGGCCGCCATCGAGGAGTTGCGAGCGTGCGATGCGAGGAAGTGGTGGGGAGGGGAGTGGAAGAAGAGACGGACGGCCAGAAAGAAGACAAGCCTGGGTAAGCAGCCCAATCCACACTGATAAGGAGAAGACGGCTGACTTGTGGGTCCCTGCGGGCCGGCTATCTTTCCTCCGATGCTTTGTTCGCCACCACGGCAACCACTGGTAGGCAGCGGTTGTCCGTGTCTGTGTCCATGGCGACGCAGCTCGCGACCCGGGGCCTCCCCCTCGCCTCACGCGGCCCGCCTTCTTGCGCCGCCTCCTGCTCCTCGTGCCCGCCCTCGTCTCCCCAGCTCGGTCGCCGGCCTAGCCGCCGGTTCCGCTGCTCCTCGCCACAGGTAATTAATTCCATACCAACCGTGCCCTGTGCGGCAGTGCCGGCACTGGTGGTTGTTAGAGTGACTTGATTCGGATGCAGGTCGATGCAGCGGCGCCGCCGGGGAAGGGCGGCGAGTACCGTCCCTCCTTCGCGGACGACCTCCTCCTCGCCTTCTTCCGGAGCAAGATGGTGGAGGTGAGCTCCACTCCATCCACCGATTCCTTCCTTCCTTCCTCCAGTTAGCTGATGCTAAACCTTGTTACTAGCTTCTCTTTTTTTCTGAGGAATCTTATTAGATTCTTTTCTTTAAGTAAAACAAAAAACTTTTGGTTTATTAGAGTTCTGCCATGGTAGATACTAGATTATGTCATAATTGAATCTTCTGAACATTAGTAATTCATCACCAGGTTCTGCTCTGCTTCGGAGCAGCTTGTGCTGGGTAATTTTGATCAACAGTCTGACAAATCCTGAGAAATTGACGCCACGTGCATAACTAAACTTGTGACACTTATTAGTTTAGTTTATTGGACTACTTTGGTCTACCTTGGAGCTTTGTATTTCTATAAAATGGTCAGATTCAATGATATCATAGTTTTCAGACAGACAGCCACTCCGGAGACATAGAATAATCACTGTCATATATGAATGAAAAATATACACACTTGCATACAACCTGAAAAATTACCTAGAAGTGGCTATGAAAGAAAAATTAATGTGCCTTCGGTAGGGATTAATGCAGGTTCGCGGGTTAGCCCGCTTGCATCTTTAGCCTTCGGATAAGTTACAAGTACTTAGGCTCTGTTTGGATCCATAGGACTAACAACTAGTTGACTAATTTTTAGTCCCAAAAAATCCAAACAGACAAACTAATTGCTAGTCCACTAGTCATGGACTACTTGCTAGTCCATTAGTTCACAAATATGAGCTAATTGTGCTAGTTCTTAGTCCTAATCCATCCAAACAGGCCCTTAGAAAGCCAATCCCCTGTTCACGATCGAGTATCTGTTAAGTTTTAGGTCAATATGTAATATCACAGTTTTGCATAAAAGAAAGACATGCAATTACATTCTGTTGATTCTCTGAAAAGCTGTAGGAGGTTGGATGGGATTCCGAAAAGCCTGGGTATGCTGAGCTAATGGAGGTAGCAAACCGTCTCATGGTCAAGGGAAAGAGTGCTTTGGAGACTGAGCAAGCTGCTGTATGTCACTGCTCTTGTTCCTTCCTAGTCTGTGCACATCTGTCTGTCATGGAAACTTTAATACCTGAATCAACCTTAGTTTTCTGTCTCTCTCTTTTCTACAATCGCCAGGTCCGAGTACTACAGTCATTGTTTCCGCCTCTCTTGCTTGTTCTTTACAAAGCTCTTTTATCGCCAATTGCTAATGGTCAACTAGCTGCCGTGATACTTGGTGAGTGTACTTCTAGTAAAAAAATACAGCATTTCCATGTATAATACAATCTTCATTTCTTCTTAACTTGGTCCCTTTGGTGTTGCTGCATTCTCTTGAGAAGCTAGAGCGACAGCACTTTCATGCCAATGGTTGATGGGCCCATGCTCAGTTAATTCAGTCACTCTGTGTCATGTGCGGACGCACATATGCCAGGCGCGGACGCGCCCGCGACGTCCGCCGCGCGACTGAGCGCGCTGAGCGCGTTGGGCAGGTGCTGCATGGGTTAGCCTCTAGTGGCTAAAGATAGAAACTTAGATTAGTGAGTTGTTTTGGAAATTCCTAGAATCAGGGAGAGCCTTCCCCTTTTCGGTTGGGCCATTGGCCATATATGCTTGTGATCGCTGAACAAATCAATCAAGAAAGAATTATATTCCTAATCTCTCTCTCTCTGTTAAGCCTGCGGTTGAGGGGGATAACCTCACCGGAGAAGACGGCCGACGGCTACGAACTGCGTAGCCGCGGTCCGGCCAGTCAGGGGTTCGACGCCCTTGACACTCTGCCTGATGGAAAATCGTGGTCAAGTGGGGTATCGATTTGTTCCAACTTTCAACTCCTTGTCTGTTTTGTTCACTATGGCTCTGGACTTTGAAACCATGCTCTTTTTACCTTGATAATGAAACTTCTAGGTGTTCGTTGAGAAATGCAAGTATCTGGAAGAGAGCAAATGCCTTGGCATTTGCATCAACACATGCAAACTACCAACTCAGGTTTGCTCATGTGTATACATCTAGAATGCTGGATTTGTATTTATCTAATACTCCTCCCCAGTCCTTGAATAAACTACGCTTTCCATTTTCAGACTTTCTTCAAAGATCACATGGGCGTTGATTTGTACATGGAGCCAAATTTTGAAGACTATAGCCGCCAGGTAAATATAGTTTCAGACTTTGTGCACTACATACTTCTTGTTGTCGATTGTTATGCTAAAAGAACTTTGCACCTGCCATTTGTACATGCTTTTGTGTAGTATATGACCAAAATTCAAAATGAAGCACAGCACTTAACAACAAAGTTTACGCTGTTGTTTATTGCAGTTCAACTTCGGGGTGCCGCCTCCACCTCTTGATACTGACAAAGCCCTCAAGGAACCGTGCTTGGACATTTGCACAAATGCGAGGCGGCGCAGAGAGCTAGGAAGAAATAGTAGCCCAGATGCGCTCAGTTGCCCCCAAGTTTGAGAGATGTGCTCATTGTAAAAGACTGCACATCATATCATAGATGAGATGTCATAATCCGGTAATGGTATAGGTACGCTTGCTCTGATTATTGCACATTGGGAAGGTGTGTTACTCAACTCAAGAGTGCCTTGCCTCTGAGTCTTCGTGCAACAATGTCGAGTAATTTTGGTAATACCAATTCTATATTGCACACGTACACGTATTCAATTTGATCAACATAAGTGACAAACTTACGATCTGTTCCAATAGATCAGCATCCAATGAAACACCACAGTGATCTGGATACGAGTTCAGCTGCCACAAAAAAGGGGTAACTTAGAACAGAGGGAAAAAAAATATGAAGCAACATATAAAAATATGAAGTCCAACATTTTATCAGAAAAGTTATGACAGGCAAGCTCCATGTTTGAAGCCAGGAACATGTTGAAAAAAAAAAAAAATCACCGCATTCCAGTTGTCAACAGGGACTCAGGGAGTCTGAACTTCTGAACAAGAAACATGATCGGTTCTTGGGTTGAACAAATGTGGTGCACCATGCCCACTGGAATGGAAATTTAAACTTCAATTCCGATGGATCACTGCTCCCTCTATAGAACACAACAGCTGATCATGTTTGCCTGCATATAGGAGTATCATATATGGCATTCCACAAGCTCATGCAGAGCCTGCTGTTCTGCATCCACAACCACAATGTAAGCAAAGGGTGATCCTCTGCTAGCAGCTCACTCCATGTCGTCTTTGGTAGCAAAGGAAGCTACGAATCTGCTTAAATTCTTTCGTGTTCATGTCATCAATCATTGTAAGTTAAGATTCTATCCATGCTGTTATATATACCTTGATCCGCCACTCATGTGAGGCACTGGCACTCCCTCCTACGCCTGGTCCACGCGATGGTCACCGCGTGCGGCGCCGGCACGCACCAGGACGCCGCGGTGCTACTTTTTTTTTCGAACGCGCATTCACGTGGATTTCATTAAGAAGCAAGAGTGCCGAAGGAACAGCGTACACGACGCGACTATGAGAGAACCCATAGCGTAGGATAAAAAAAACCCACAGAGCGAGTGGTTTAGAACGAAAAACACAAGTGAAAGCAAGAAGTGCGGCAGGGAAGGGCCCTCCACCACAACCTAGCTAGCTGGACCTGCAGCTAAAGATAACGACGCGAAGGCTGCCAACAAGGGAGGTGAAGCCTCGGTGGCAAAGCATCCACCAGAAAGAACGCGGCAAAATCCGCGAGCACAATGCGACAAATCATCCATGGGCTGGTAGCGACTATGGCGGCAAAGCATCTGCCCAGGCAGTAACGACGGCAAAGCATCCGTCGAGTATCCGCAAGCGGCTAGGTAGCCGTTGCGAAGATGACCAATGACAGCAAAGCATCCGTCGAGACAACTACAGTAACACCAACATCCAAGGTGGACAGACCAACGCGAAGAGTAAGCTAAAGCACAGGCAGGCACAATACACAGCTAGGAGCAGCTCCTGCGAGAGGAACAGGACGGCGGCAGAAGTGCTCCAACGAAGCCAACAAGAAGAGAATGACATCCTCAGACATCAACAACGTTGAACAGAGAGCACAACAAGGACTTTCGTCCTAGGACCTCCCCAACGACCCGCATTACGAACACATCTTTCGACGAACACCTTCGAAAAGTTGGATGGCACAAATTGTACCACCGTCGCCGCCCCGAAGCGAGAAGCGGGGCAGAGTTTCACCCAAGAGTTTGTTCGAACATGGCCACTGGGACGATCCTAGCAAAGTAGCGGGCCGACCCAGCACAGGAACATATCACGAAGGCAGGAGCAGGTCCAGCACCAACAATTCTGGCTAGCGACTATGACAGAACCGCCTAATTTAATGCCTCCCAGGAATACTTGTCTTCTATTAGACACTAAATACTCAAGTGAGGACACCAAATTACGCGGTTCCGTCGAGCACACCCCAAGGGAGAACCCGAAAATCCATATTTTTCCATCAGGATCACAAATGAGAGAATAAAGCTTACATCATTTTAGCCATTTCTTATATCACTTTTCATGCAACATCAGAGTATAATATTTATTGTTATAACAACGGAATATAATCATGTTATCAGAGTTATGAACAATTTAATTTAACAGCGGAATATAAGCAGATGATCAGAGTTACAGCGGAAATAAATATCTGTTCCTGACATGATGAAGCATCAATATATAAACTATGACAACAGATTATAAAACTTCTATTTATAAAACATTTAGTGAGAGTTATAAATAAATACTATGATCGCAGCGTAAAGGAATGCTCTCTGAGCCACCAGAAGGAATCCACACACAAGGGTCAACTCTAGCATCCACCTGTCATCTGCAATAGGGGGAAATAAAACCCTGAGTACTCAATTGTCCTCAGCAAGACTTACCCGATAGGAGGAAAGAAAAACTCCAAGGATATACAAGGCTTTCTGGTTTGTGGGTTTATTGCATGTGTGGAGCATTACTAAACGTGCGTCCTTATATTCAATTTTATTAGCAGTTATCATTAATTCATTAACTAACCATTCTATGTAAGCACATGTGCTACTTTCAAGCAGGTGGTAAGCAATCAGAATTATTTTACCATCTTTCATCTTCTAGTTCTTACTACGATACTAGATTGTAGACAAGTCATCGGAACGCCGACGATTCGTGAATCAATGCCCCCAGCTGGGTACCTCGAAACACACCCCGCTTGTACCCCAGGCACAAGCAGGACCAACCGACTACCCTCCTGTCACGGGGTCCAGGTTCTCGTCCAAACTTGGACTCAAGCCCCCCGCCCTGAGTCCCGGACTCAGTGCGGTGCAAGGACCTCCACCCAAAAACCACCCTAAAAGTCGGTCCGAAAAGAGCCGGAACCCATGACAAGAGAGTAAGAAGTCTTCCCACGTCCATACACAAGTATGTGTTCAGGATAATAAGTCTATGACTTGTCTAGAGTCCAATGCAACGGCCGGTCCTTAACCGATATAGACAGGGAAAATAGTGTAACCAAGCTATGCCCCGTTGGCCACAGGACACAACCTCTTACACCCGCCAATACCCAAATCATATCTTTGCTCGGTCTCCATTTATCATTCATATATATATTCCAAGTGATAATGAGATAGTAACAACAATAATATATTTCCTACCTCTCGCGAGTGACAGGCAATCACTCTACTTCTACCGGAGTCCTGTAGCATAGCAATTTACACGATCCTGTCATACTAGTAAGACTCAAAGGATAAAGATATATATATATATATGCAAGTGGGTTTCATTCAACTCCTTAAAACTTAATGCACAAATATAATTTAAAGTGCAGAGAAGTAGGGGTTATGCACCGAGGCTTGCCTGGGTAAGATATAACCAAAAGTTAGCTTTCCATCGTGATGACATGACCATCGAGACACCATCTTTTTCGATACTCCAGATGTCTCCTCGATCCATCGCCGTTCCTATTATGATATGCGTGGATGCAATGCAGAGACGTAATTAATCAACTGCAACCGTGACTCGTAAAATACGATTTACGCCACTCAAGCTAACGAGCTAATTCTAACGACAACCGTACTTAGGCTACGTATCCATGTTGTCGAATAAGGCGTTATTTCCCAATAAATGTTAGCTTACAAAAGTTAGCTAATTCTAACGGCGGCAGTGGCGAGCAACACGGAGGCAAGCCCTCGACGGCGGTACGCAGGGCACGTTAGGAGGCGGCGTGGAGCTACGGCCGTCTCGACCGCAGGCGTGGGCGGTAGAGGGGCGGCGGCCATGGCACGGACGATGGCGAGGACGCTGCGGGGCGTGGCAACGGAGGTGGAGCGGCGTGGGCAACGTGGGCTCAGGCACTCTCGCACTCGCGATGGCATGGCGATGGGAGGAGGTGCGGGAAGGTAGCGCGGGGGAGCTGAGGACCAGCGCAAGGCCACGGGGCACGCGCGCGCTCATGAGGGAGGGCCGGCCATGAGTCGGTCCCCGGCATGGTCTTCCACGTGGCGGTGCGGCGAGGCGAGGCTAGGGCGGTGCCGTGGAGGTTCGAGCGTGCTCGCGAGGACTGGGCGACGAACGACAGAAAGCGCAGCGACGGCGCTCCTGGGGCTCGGGTGGCTGCGCCGCGACGGAGGAGCAGGGGTGGAGTCGCGCGCGGGCGCCGTTGAGCTGCGGCGTGCGGAGACAACGAGAGCATGGCCGCGCCGGCGTGGTGGCGGTGGTGCGGGCGTGCCGAGGCAAGGGGCGCGGACGCCAGGGTGCCGAGCACAGTGGTAGGCAAGGAAGAAAGAGTCTGCTGCAGCTTGGATGGCTCAGTGGTGCTGTAAAGATGCGCTGCACCGCTGCACATGCTCGGCTGGCGCTCCCATTAAAATTCGGACAAGACACTAGCGAGGGAGAGAAAGAGTGAAGGACAGTGGCACAGGCAAACAGCCGCAGCGTGACGGAACAGCAAAGGTAGCCAGCTTCTCCGTGGTTAGGTGGGTCATGCGGTGGGCGGAGGACCACGTCTGCCAGACGGCTGGCAAGGCAGCGCACGTGGCGACCGCAGGCCGATCCATACGACGGTGAGTAGTGATGCACACGAATTTTAAAGAGACGCAAAAACCGCGGCTTAGCTCGCTGAGTTCCAACCAGAATGCACTACCCTAGAGTTGACACTACCATCTCCCCGATGAAGCAACCCATACAACCATAAGATGACCAGCGAGAAGGAAAGAGGGGCGCTAAGATAGACTGGTCGCGTAGAACGCCGATTCACGGACAGAGCGCCACTAACATGGTTAACATGTTCAAAGCATAATTGGGAAATTTTACGAGAGCATCGTGACTTCCAGACCAACCACAGCCTACACCGTGTTCAAGTACACAGCTCGATGCAACCAGTCGTGCAAAAACATAGATATATTGTCTAACTAGTTTTGTTGGAATTTAAATGCCAAAATGGCATTGTCTACAACTCTTTTCCAAAACAAGCCCTAAACAACTTTTATCCACAAGATTATGTAAAA